TGGTGCAAGCTCAAACCCCAAATGCAAAAATACAGATATGAACTGCAGCAACAAAAAAAATCCTGGCACTGAAACCATTCTTTGCATAGAAAAACTTCTGTGTTAACTCACCATCAGCACTGCCTTGAACTCCTCTTGTCTTCTCTAAAATCCTGTACCTCTGTAGTGTGACATCCTTTCTCCCCTCTTTTGAGGGTATTTTAAATACATTTTTTTGTATTTAAAAATGACAAAGCTCTTGGAGCTAAAACACATTGAAAATCATAAATATGGTCAGAGAACATTCTGCCTCCAAACATCAAGGACTGTCAGGCTGCACAAGGCTGATGCTCCTCCATTTCTAGATCTGAGTATCACTGTGCACAATGAGTTAGACAAGCACAAACTTGCAGGAATTGAAAATGATTCTAGGTACGGCTCTTAAAAATATAAATGAAGAGAAACATGATGCTTCTCTCTTTCTTTCCATTTGAAAAACTGCATGTACTTCTAAATTGGTGGAAAAGAGTCTTTAAATAAAACAGTCGTTTGTCTGCTTTGCCTCCAGAAGATGAGGACAGAACGATTTCCTAAATGCATCTTTATTAGATACAAGATCTATAAAGGCAGTCTGGGCTTATCTGGCAACCTTTATTTAGACTAAAAGGGAATAAAATAAATGAATAATTTAGGCAATAAAGATGAAGGCAAGTGCTTTCCTTGTCCTGCTTGTACATATATCTCCTACTAGCGGAACTACAGTGTTTCTAAGGATGCCTGCTAATACAATTGCATCATTCAGAGCAGTTAAAGAGAAGCAAGCTGGCTCTTCAGAAGGGGCTTTTTTTGACCAGAGGTTCAGTAGAGGATGCTGCATCAGTAGGACGCAGCCATCACAGCTTCCAAATACCCTCACACATGCTGAGGTTGCAGGCTGAGCTGACAATGGCTCAGCAGCATCTTCAGGTGGTGCTCTCACTATAGGCAAGCCTAAATTACCAGTGGTAAATTCAGATTTCAAGAGATGAGGTTGTGACTGAAGTAATTCCTAAGTGTTTCCTCCTGCTGATTTTAAGGAACAGGTGTGGATGTACCAGAAATGCTTTGCTACCCTCAGGCACAACCATCTGGCTGAATAGGAGAAGCATAATTAAAAATAATGGACACTGAGATATGGCCATTTAGCATCTCTATTAGGAAAGCTGTTTTGAAATGGAAACCTCACAAGAACACAGTGCAAGGTACAAATGTTATTAAGTCTGAATCCAAGTCCCGTTTATTTTTACATCTTGGAATCAATTACTTTGATCCAGACATCTTATTAATGGCTTGTTTCTAAAGTGAATACCTATCCATGGTTGCAGATCATACACAAAATTATGGTTGGATATGGGCCATGAAGAGAGAAATGTCCATAACTCAGCCTCTTCCCTGCATCTACAAGTTTAATGCTTGTTTTTCAGTTTCTCTAAAACACCAGTGCTCTAGGTCTATTTTATTAATAAGTTATGTTCATATTATATGTATCTCAATGTCTTTCAAAGCCACAGTGGAATTTCCTGAATTTTCTAATGATTAATTTTGCAGCCAGTTAAAGAAGCAACCCAATAACTTGGTCATTTCCAGTTGAAGCTGTAAGGGCTGAACTGCTCTGATTATTCTTGCTGTCCAATTTCTGTAGCATCCCCAAGGTTTTTTCAAACTAGCATGGAGAATACAAAATCATTAAGACAGTCTTATTGATCAGGTGGCAATTTTCATTGTTATATGGAAGATTTCTTCAAGATAAATAAACTATATGAAAGCAATACTTTAAAAAGCACAGTTCTTTATGAATGCCATAAATCAGTTTCTTTTCCCATATGTTTTTCAAAACAATGTTGTCCTGGTTATCTCCAGTAGTTTTAAGAAGTAGGGGACACATACCCCAACAAAATAATTTATCTAAAATTAAATTCACGGTATGAATCAGGAATTTTTTCTTTTTCAGTAAGGAAATGGCAACTTTAGGTGGATTTTGTTGTATTTTTATAAGTAAATGGAAGTTAAACAGAAGTGGCCATACTGAAAAGTTTGTTCCCACCATCTGTGTACATGACAGATTGCTGGTTTTGTCTACATGCTCCTCTTTTCATCCCTTTATTGATGTTGGAATTAGTATGCATTTGGAAAACATTGATGTTCCTAAAGTGTTAATATTCAAATTTTATGGTTAGAAATAGAAGACATAATTTTATTTAAAAGCAAAATCAAAGGTCTTATCTTGTGGAAAACTGCACAAATTCCATACATCAAAGCTGCTGCAGACAATAGGCTTGATGACTCCAAGAATATAATCCCTGTGCAGAGCTGCACAGATGGAAACATCTCAAGGTCACTGGTCTTGTAAGGAGAGTCCTGCTGCTCTGCACCAGGGTTTGGGATGATCCCTGGAGAAAGAGGAGCCAACTGTGGCAGAAATTATTTTCATTAATTTCCAGTCAAACATTGGAGCAAAATATTTGGGTTTTTCTCACGAAGGTAAAAGAAAAAGAATCTTTATGTGATTTGGTAAAGTCAATGGTGGCACAGCTTAAGGTCTAGTTCACCTTCAGAGAAAGCAAGTTAGGTGTTCTCCTACTAATTTATAAGGATAAAAAATAAATTCCTGGATACTGTGTTGAATTGATGGTAAAGATCCTGAAGATTCCACATGAAATATTGTAAGGCTTGAGCACATTGGGAAAGGACAATGGATTGTGAACAACCTATTGCAGAGTTTTCCTCAGAGGTATCTGTGCTGCCTGTTGTAGTCCCTACCTGCTCAAACAAGCCTAACCTTCTTTCCATTGACAACTTCTGCTAAATTGAGCATTTCATAACACTGGCCTGTTAATCTGATGCCTTCACAGGCAACACAAGTAATTCATCCTTGAAAACTAAAGAGCAGTGAAGCGCCGTTATCTGAAATCCATATGAATATTTTTGGGCGTATTATTAGGCTCCAGTTTCTCTTGAAACAGAGATAATAAACATCAAAATATGCAGAAAATTTTTTTTTAGCCTGTAAATACCCATCCAGATCCACAGCAAGCCCTAGAATGTTGCAGCTTTACAGTAAATTAATAACATTTCAGTTGGAATAAAATCAAACCTGCTTCTTGTACATACACTGGCAGGTGCATGGCAGTGCAGGTAACCTCGGCCAGGCCTGACAGGCAGCTACCAGGCTCAAAAATAGTGCATTTCCTACAGATTTCATGAAAATAGGTCTCTGCACAGCATGATCCTACAGAGCAGGGATGTGCTGGTTGCACCTGGGGCAGCTCCATAAGCCTTTGCTGCAGTTTGGGAGCAGAATGTGAAACACAATGTGAAAGAGCCTTTTATTTTATAACTCCCAGCAGTACCTGTAGATTGCCCCTTAGCTTTGTTAGGTGCAGCATAAAGATTCTATTAAATGATGTTTTATGAACTGAGCATCTAAAAGCAGCTTGTTTTTCTTTCCAGCTCAGACCTGGCATGGATAGTTCTGGGTAATTTTTGAGTGTCAGCTGTTCACAGAGGAAAACACACCAAAGTGCAAAAGCATTCTCAGGGTTACACCATGAGATTGATTGCCAAACCTGTCTTGAGGACTGAACTTGTTTAAGAGAGGCAGGCAGCTCCCAACTATGTTATTTACTCCCAGCAGAGAACTTTCAGAGCCTGAGCCTTGTTCCAGTCAGAATATGATGAAAGATGAAACACTCTATAAGGAAATGCAATTAAAACAATCAGCCAATGAAACCAAAATCCTCCCAGCTATTCCTTCCTCTGGCTTTCCTTATACATCCTGTCTCTTTTTTGTTTTGGATAATTAAATTGAAAGCTCTTTGAAATGAGGAGCTGTCTATATTTTGTCTCTTATGTAATACCAAGATCACTGTTGGTACTTTAGAAAATACATTATTTTTTAGCATTTGTCTTTACTGCCTCTAATGGAGACATTTGACCCTGGATTTGTGCAGGAACTTTCCTAAGGATGAACAAAAGAAACAACAGCGTGAATTGACAGCACATAATATTTTTCCTGAGGGTTTTTAATTGGTTGTGAACTAAGGAGGAGCATAGGAAATCTCATATGTCTTGCAAGTTTGGGCATAATAATGCAAAACTGCACCTGAAAGTTAGACACAGCCAGGATGAGGTTGTCAGGTACCTTCTCCAGCCCTGGCACAGCTGCCCAGGGCAGTGGTGGAGCCTCCATCCCTGAAGGGATTTAAAAGCTGTGTGGATGTGACACTTGGGGACATGGGTTAGTGGTGGTGCTGGGTTAATGTTTGGACTCAATGATCTTAGAGAGCTTTTCCAAAATAAGGATTCTGTGAACTGTGGTAGCCTCACGACATTTTGGTGATTGATTAAAAATATATGGGTGGGATACATGGCACCTGCTTTTCTTTCTTCAAGGCTTTGCAGAATTTAGGGCTTAAAGAGATGCCCACTTATTTAAAAATTACTCTCTTTGTGCTTAGTCACCACCTCTGCCAAGCTCAGCTCTCCAGCCTCCCAGACCTCTGTAACAGATGCTATTGTGCAACAGGAGGGACTGTGATTGAAGTTCCCAGAACAGATTTTAATTAGAAACATAACTTCATACAGTAGCTTGGAATGAGTACAGGGAAAGGGGGGAAAAAAAAATCAAACTGAGTGTTGCAAATGAAAATACCAAAAGGAAAAATAAAAACGCATTTTAGTGGTGTTTTGTGCTGAAAAGCACTTGATAGGGAATACTGTGCGTATCTGTGAAAAATTGAAGCACGCAGCAAGCAGTAATAATTATCTGAGACCCTCAAAATGGTGTAGATCTGCGTTGCCTCATGGATTTTCTGAGAGCTGCCATTTCTCATGGACCTCGGCACCGCTGTGCTCGTTCGTCCCGGTGAGGAGCCCAGCCAGCTTGGCACTGCTGAAACCCAGAGACTTTGAACACTTGTTTGTCTGATGTTGGGTTTTGTTTTTCTGCTTAATTAAAATTTAACCGATCTTTTGTTTTGTAGATTGCCCTCCACTTGGTCTAGAGACATTAAAAATCACTGACTTCCAGCTCCATGCCTCCACAGCGAAGCGCTACGGCCTGGGGGCCCACAGAGGAAGGCTCAATATTCAGGTAACATCCATTTTTCTCCTAAGTGGGAGAATGGCTTCAGGTTGTTCTGCTGTATAAAGAGAACCAGTGGATAGTTATTGGTTCTGACTGCTTTGTCAGCTCATGTAATTCAAATGAAGGGGAAACACTGGAATTATAGGAGTGAGTGAGGTTGATGGATAACCTTTAAATTCGTGGGCGAGTCAGAAAAATCTCCAAACTTACTGTGCAAATCCAAACAGACCTCTGTGAGCAAGCAAAGGTGGAAGCAGCTCCCTTCCCAGCTATAGAAAATCATCCCAGCTGCCTTAACAATCAGCCTGGAAGGAAGATCACACAGCAAGGTGCTTTTTTGCTTGTAGTTAATGACAATGCTTAATTGAAAGTGTGGTTTGAAGTGAAGTCCTTTCCCTAAGGCAGTTTTGCAGTGATTATGCTACCTAAAAATACTTCAGTTCAGAAGCCTCCAGCATACAGTGTTGTTTAGTTTCTTTTATTTCATGTTAAAGATGTGTTTAGGTGTCTTGCAGGACCCAATTCCATTTTCCCATGTCTTATGTTTCTGTTTTCCACTTGATTAGTGCTGTTACTTGAATTACAGTCTCTCCCAGACTAAAAATGTTATGTTGCATAATAAAGTACAGCATTAAAGTCATAAACAGGATATTAGCACCAAGCCAACAGTGAAAAATCCCTAAAGTTTATTTAATTTATTTGTTATCTCTTATTATTATACCTTCTGATTGATTTTTTTTTTTTCTTCAGCTGAAGGTGCTTGCTAATTAGGGAACTAGGACTGGAACTAGGAGTGGCAGGAGGCCAGCACAGACATGGGAAGGGGCTTTTCCTTTCCCAACCCCTGTGCAGGTACAGTGGGTTGTGTGTGTGCAGCGTGAGGTCTCACCTGCAGCCTTCATACTTAATGTCTTCTGAGATCCCAGTGAGGTAGTTTGCTTCTTTACTTCATATCCTCTGCTAAAAATGAAACCCTCAGAAACACAAAAATGGTGTGCAGATGATATTCAGATGGATTCTAGAGGAATGCTTAGTTATTTTATTACAGTTTTGTTTATCTAGTGGCATGAGACCAAGGACTGTGGTGTAAACCTCTGAATTCCATGTTGGTTGTGGTTGCTTATTTTTCATGCTGGTGTTAAAGTTTAATTTATTTAAATACAAGGATGACCATACTTGTTTAGACCAGGGGTCCATCATCACCAGTAACACTGCTTTAAAATAAATAGAGAAGTGGATGAGGTTTCCTGTAAATATTGTCCAGAGTCTGCAGCAGAAGCCAAGGAAAGCAAGCAGAAAAAAAAAGAAAAAGGGCCACTTAGCTCATCCTGAAAGCTCCCAGGGCTTGGATTAGACCAAATTTGATCCAAAGCTTTTACCCCTACTGAAAGCTTATCTGTACAATGTATGTACAGGAATTCCCTAAACACTTGACCACTTAGGGTTACTGCTATGGCTGGCAGTGTTAAAAGTATGGGATTGCCTTTATTTAGGTACTGTTTTCTTTGGGATCAGTTAAAAATGAACAGTGCTAAAACTTTTCAAAGCCACTTAGAATGTGCAGATCCCTGTCACTGGGGTTTCAGTGACCCTGTCACTGGGCTTTCAGTGCCTAATTTTGCTTTGCATGAAGGCTCCTGATTTTCAGTCATATTTAAGGGGTATTTGCTTCTAACCAAGAGCAGGTTCTACAGGGGACTGATGTGTCAGATGGGTAATGAGGTCCCTGGTGATTTCTGTTTGCTGCTCAGAAGAAAAGGTTGCAGCATGCTGGGGAAAGGCAAAAGGCACTGGTATTCAGGCTGCTGTGTTTTCATGCTGGTTAGTACTGCACATGGAGAAAAACCCTTGGCCCAAGTTGGAGAGACTCTTAGAGACTTGTGTGCTACTGAAATTCTCTGAACATCCGTGTGTATGGTGATGAGCGATTTCATGGGCTGATGCCCCTGTTCAATGATCTGGATTTCAACACAATATTCATGTGACTGTTGTGTTCCTCCCCAAAATAAGGCAAAATCCTCTCTCTGCTTGACCTCATCATCTGATCAGAAGTCAGCTGAGAAGCTCAGGGCTCTCCCCAGGTAACTGGCACTACCTCAGTTCACAGGGAATTTGCAGAATAATGAAGCTTCTGAAGGGTTTGTTTTGTTTTTTTTTTTCTGTTTAGATTATTTGAAGCATATGAAATGAAACAGTCCATGTGTGCTTTATTCCAAAGAAGAACAGGTTTAGCAGAACTGGATAAGACCTTCTAGGATCTACTTCTTTTGTGCCCTTGCACTGTGTAGGACCTGATTTTGCTCCCAGTCCTGTATGAATATGGTGATAAAGCTGGGATTTCTCGTGGAAGGAGCAATGTGAGTAGAGACCCATATTTTGGAGATCTAGCCTGCAACTGCAACAGTGGCACAATCAGTAGTAATTTAACATAATCAGGAAAAATTATGGCATAAAATAATATTAATTGAGGTGCTCTGCCTTCAGGGATGAAAGTCATTAGTATTTGTCACTAGTACAATAATTAACAGAGGTTAAAATCTGAAATAGTAAGTCAGACTATGTTTCTTTCCCTTCCTCATTTTCCTGATAGGAGAAATCCAAACAACACTGAAGATTAACCATGTAATGTCAATATGCAAACACAGGCATACATCTATAAGGGAGACCTTATATTACCTTCCAGTGCCTAAAGGGGTTCCAAGAGAGCTGGAGGGGGACTTGGGACAAGGGATGGAGGGACAGGACAAGGGGGAATGGCTTCCCAATGCCAGAGGGCAGGGTTAGATGGGATATTGGCAAGGAATTCTTGGCTATGGGAGTGGTGAGGCCCTGGCACAGGTTGCCCAGAGGAGTGTGGCTGCCCCATCCCTGGAAGTGTCCAAGGCCAGGTTGGACAGGGCTTGGAGCAACCTGGGCTAGTGGAAGGTGTCCCTGCCCATGGTAAGGGATGGAAAGAGATGATCTTTAAGGTCCCTTCCAGCCCAAACCATTCTATGATTCTATGGTTGTCTTTCCAGTGCTTTGTTTCAGCAGTTCACTTTGAAAAACTCCATTATCAAAACACAAATAAAAGACAAAATTATTGAAGATCTCCTTTCAGCCTGTGTGCTTTACTTCTTCCCTGCTGTTAGTGGTTGCTATAAATACCTGTGATGAGCAATGCTTTTTTTTTTCCCTCCCAAACTTCCGATGGGAATGGAGAAGAATCTGAGCAGAGGTGGTTTGATATTTGATATATTTTTACTGCTGCTCCAGCTGACTTGTGGCAGAAGACTGGTATTTCTTTCTTCATTTGAATAGATTTTGGCAGTAGTATCTATCTCCTCATTATAGAATAAGGCTTTTAGAACAATGATAATGTAAGTGTTTATTCTGTCTTGCACATATATATAATTTGGAAGAGAAACATTAATTAAATTACAAAGTAATTATTTGTAAAGGAATTGTACCCTTCATCTCAGTTTCTGGGTACATAGTAACAGTTGATTTGGTTTAGCTGAATTACAATTTTCAACTTTCACACTTCCAGATAACTTATTCCTGAGTGACAGGAAAAAAAAGTCTCCTTTCCTGTATCCAAAAGATATTTTTTCATAAGACACTGCATACTGAGAAATATTTTTGCATTTGGCTGCCGGTGAAATACAAACTGGGTTAGACTTTGTGTTAGTCTTGAAAATTCAGTGAAGGAAAAAAGGGTTTGTTTAAGACCCAGCCCTTGTTTCCAGTTTTCATCAGCTCCTTCAGTCTCCTGTTTATGAAGATAATTAAAGTTGTCCATGTCATAACTTGAATTTATTCTTTCCAGTAATTCAATATAGATTTTTAAAATTCAAGTAAACATCTTATTGAGGAAAGGTATCTTGATCTATATAATTTGATAGAATATTTGATAATTGTTCCCATTGTTCAGGAGTGAACATTTTTTTTCTGAAGAAATGTAATAAGAATTCTAATTACTGAATATTTGATTGTGTTTATAAGTTTTTTTTCATAGTTTTTTGAAGTAGCCATAAGGCAAATTAAACACATTAAGAAAAAAAGACAGATTTGAAGCTTGAAAAGAGAAGTTGTAACATAAATTGGTGATTCTTTTCCTTTCCTTCAGGAACATTTCTGAAAAGAACCTCTCATTGATTAAACTCCTCTTTTTCAGGTAGTACTCTGTGTTAATCAGACATGTGCTTCTTTTTACCTAGTAAAACCTTTATTTTAGCTTCAAAGCAGCTGATGCCAGAAAATAAGCGAGTAGGAAGAAGTAGAAGAATGGTTCTCCCTTTCCTTCTCCCTTTCCTTCTCCCTTTCCTTCTCCCTTTCCTTCTCCCTTTCCTCCTCCCTTTCCTCCTCCCTTTCCTCCTCCCTTTCCTCTTCCCTTTCCTCCTCCCTTTCCTCCTCCCTTTCCTCCTCCCTTTCCTCCTCCCTTTCCTCCTCCCTTTCCTTCTCCCTTTCCTTCTCCCTTTCCTTCTCCCTTTCCTTCTCCCTTTCCTCCTCCCTTTCCTTCTCCCTTTCCTCCTCCTTTTCCTTCTCCCTTTCCTTCTCCCTTTCCTTCTCCCTTTCTTCCCTCTCCCCTATTTAAGGCCATAGTATTTTAAGCTGTGGATAACTAAGACTCCCCATATTGGATATACAACTTAAGCTTGACTTTATTTAAATCCAGTTGAAACCATGGAGACTTGAGTATGTAATTTAGGTAGGGTTTTTCTTTCAGATGAGCACTTTTTTCTTTCTTCTGCTTCCCTCTTCTCATTGTAATGTGGAGGAGAGGTCTATACCCTGATAAGCATCACACCAGTGGGAAATATCCTCAGATGAAACAAGGGCCAAGGATTCCAACTGATGTGGGTACTTGGTCTGCAGAAACTGGTGGAATTTCACCAGTGTGAAAGGAATTAGCAGGATGCTGTTCAAGGTGCTCTGTAGATCCTAACTCTTCCTGGCAAGCACTGGTTTTAAAGCCTGAGGCTGCTTCAAATTCCATCTTATTTTAGAACACGCTGAAACCTTTTCTTCAAAAGGGTTATAACTCAGGTCAGTGATCATATTTTTATCCTCATATTTTCCTGTTGTGCAGTTCTCCTTGAAGAATTTACCTTCCATTGCTAATAGACTTTTTCTCTGTATCTCATACTTCAACTTTTATACAAAATTCACTTCAAAATATTAGAGCTAATGCATAGAAGTAGGTGGCTTAATTTTATTTTGGTAGAAGTAGGATAACAAATAATTTCTAAGCTGCCCTGTCTCGGATTTGAATACCTGAGAAAATGAGAAGTTTTAGAAGTTGAATCCATGTCTGTGTTTTGCAGAATTTCCTTCAGATGCCACAAGGGTCACACTGGGAAAAGGGATTAACGGCTGCATCCTCTCTGAGTTAGACCCACCCATTGCCCATTTGGGTAGAAACAGTCTGTAAAACTCTTCAATTTTATTTGGGAAATATTTAAGGATATCCATTCTTGGAATTGCATGGGTGGCAATGATAAATCCACATAAATTGCAGATGAAAAATCATAAAAATACATGTAGCCTCAGAGGACCATATGGCAAAGCTTCTTGCTCTTTATGCCAGTATCCAGCTTGGTGCCAATCATTTCCTGGGCTTTAGAAAGAAAATAAATATCTGAAGACCTCAGATTCCATTTTTCATTAAATGCTATTTCAGATTTATTTGGAATGCATCTTACCCAAAGTACCTTCAGCTATTTCTTTGGAAATGCTGAGAAGGCTGTTTGTGAGGGGTTTGATGACATAAATTGGGATATAGATTGGTACTCAAGTTGGAGTACAGCTGGGCATTCCCGAATTTTTAACCTTTGCCACCCTAGTGATGAAAATTAATAATTCTGGTGCTAAAAATTGGTGGGAAGTACTGTTTCCACATGCCCTACACTCTCCTTTGCTGCTTCCAGGGGAAAGGAGGTTGCCTAAACCCTGAATGTTATTTACATGGGTCGGAGCTGGCTTTTTAGGACTTTTAAAACTGAAGACCCCGTGGATAGTTTGTTCTGGGTAAAGGCTCTGTCAGGACACAAGCACAGAGAGGTGAACAGACTGAAGCTCAGGACACTCTTTCTGACTGAAACTTATATGTGAGGGTTCTCAGTTTTTAAAGGGACTTTACAGAATTTCCCTCCCCGCTTTGAGTAAGGAAATATTTTCGTGATAACCGTCTCAAGGGTCTTAAACTGGCGCCGAAGGAGTGAGTGGGATGAAAGATTACTTCATGTGTTCCTTTCTTTTTCCCATGAGAGACCTTCAGCTCCTCAGTCCTGATTTATAGAGAGCTTTGCCTTCTTTTCAGGCAGGTGTTAACGAAAATGATTTTTATGATGGTGCTTGGTGTGCAGGAAGAAATGACCCATATCAGTGGATTGAAGTGGATGCTCGAAGGCTCACAAAATTCACTGGAGTCATCACACAAGGAAGAAACTCCCTCTGGTCGTAAGTACATGTTTGCTTTTCTCCATCAGATTTTGAGCTTTCAGACCAAGGAATTCGTCTTGTGTTGTGGTTTGGTTCTTCAAGGAAAAAAAAGAAGGAGTGGAAATTATCTGGCATCCAACAACTGAATGGAGAAACAGTAAGAGGCAAAGTCATTATATATGGCATAAAACACAAGTTTGAGGATAGCAAACTTGTATAGTTGTTATCTACATCTGGAAAAGGAATCAAGATTCCTTCAGACTGGGGGCCTTTATACTCACCTGGTCCAATTTGCTCATGTCAAACTTTCTCATTCTTTTCCAGTATTTAATTTGGTTAGTTTAAGTACTGCTTTTTGAGGTTTTTATTTAGTTTAGAATAACCACTCATCTTTGAGACTTCCTAATCCCTGGGCAATTACCAATTGGTATGATTCCAAAGCAACAAGATTTTTAAACGAGCAGTTAAAACAAACTTCATAGCTATACTTTTTTCTTCTAAAGAGGAATTTAATATAAGCAAAAAAACAAACAAATGCTGTATGTGTTGACCAGAACTGAAGTGTTTAGTAGCAGACTGGTGTGCATTTCCTCCTTTGTGACCTGCACCCAGATTCCCTATAGCACAACTTCCCTCATTCATCCTGGCTGTATATGAGGGATGCAGCAGTCAGAGGGCAGGAACAGGAACTGGAGGTGATGATCTGGTTTTTTTCCCTGATCTTTACAGTGTTTACTTAGTCTTTTAATTTTTCATTGTCTCACTGTGAGCAAATAATCTCACTTGTGCTGCTGGACCTTTTGACAAAGCATGCAGGGAATCCATTCTGGTCAGACCTCTCACTTAAGAGTGTCATGTAATTAGAGGCAAATCAGAAAAATCCCACTATATCTAAGAAAAAGAATAATTTTCTCTCTAGAGTTTAATTTTCTGTGGGGTTTTTTTAATTTCTTTTAACATGGCTGTGGGAGTAGGAGCATTTTGGGCAATAAGATCTCTATATTTATTCCACATTGTTCTGTGTCAGGTAGATAATTACTGTGGCAAACTCTTATTCTCTTCTATATTCATTCTCTTGACATTGCTGTTTCTATCAACACCAGTGCTTCACTGCTTCATCCTGTTGTATTTCTATTTTTAGTTCAACTCTGTTGTGAGTTTACAGCAGGACTTGACATTATTTATAGTTGGTATTCACAGTCATCTTGGTTTTGTTTGTTTGTTTGTGGGGGTTTTTCTGTTGGTTTTTTCATTGAGTTGTAGAAACACAGAATCACAGTATGGGTCAGGTTGGAAGGGACCTTAAAGATCATCTAGTTCCAACCCCCCTGTCATGGGCAGGGAGTTTCATTTTGCCCTTTTTCCCCTTAAAGACCCCTGAGGATCTCCAGGAAGAGCAGGATTGATGCTGGGAGTGCAGGTTCAGGCTCCTCCTGGGTTTCTACTCTTATTTGAGGAAAACCAGGCCCATTTCTGCCTGACAGGAGCAAAGATATTTTCACCTGGAGCAGCTGCACTGTGGGGCAGGTTAATGCCTCCTGGAAAACATGTCCTGTAAGACTGAAATGTGCCCCATGGCTGGACCAGAGAAGTGGGGAGAAATAGTCCCAGAAAGGGGTGACCTCATTCCCTACTTCCAGCTTGCACACAAGGGACAAAAAAGAGTGGCTTTTGTGGTGGCTTTTCCTGTCAGGGTGTGATGCCTCCATCCCACTCAGTGTCTCCTGATACAGCTTTGGCAGTGTGACTGGCTTCCCTGGAATCCACCTCATTTGCTCCCTCTCCTCCTCAGACTGAGCAGATGAAATCAGTGCAGTCGATGTTTGTGTGCTTTGCTCTTTCATCTGTGTGTCCTTAGGTTTTAAAAATAGCTTGATACTCCCCAAGGTACCAAAGTAGATGTTCGTGCTTTCAGAAGGGTTTAGGCTGATGTTTGCAGCCCTCACCTGAGCCAGGAGTGGTGTCCTGGAGGTTTCCTGAGTCTCAGTACCTGGGGACATCATACCCAGCAAGGTGGCAGATGCTGCTTTCTGAGCTAATCCTGTTGCTGCACATGAAAGGAGGGGATCCCTTAGGACTTTCTGTACCAATTCCTCCAGCAGCCAAGAAGGTGAGAGGAAAGGGGGGAAAAAAGTGAAATTCTGTTGTGAAGAGGAGCTGTGCCAAGGGAAGTTCAATCCAGGCAACAGCAGAGATCATGAGCTTGGAGCAGAAACTGCCTTGATGGGGGTTCAGAGGCACTGGTGGAAGTTTCAATACGTGTGGTAAATTTGGGAAACAATGACCTGACTGCAGCCATAGGGGTTGCATGCAGTGAATTGACTCTTGCAAACCAACCCAGGAAAAACAGTGGGGCAGGACTTTATTGGAGTGGGCAAGTTCCTTTGTGACTCTTTTGCTCTAATGGGCACCAGAAACAAAGGGAGAATCATCAGCTTCTTTCCCTTTACTCAGCTGCTGCCTGTGGTGGTATCAAAAAGGATAGTTTATGATATGAAAGTTTGTACAAAAAGATACCATTCTGTTACCTGAGGCACATTCCCAACTTCTTGAGGGTATGTGACAAGAATAGAGTGCTTTCCTGACTGACGGAAACATATGTTGGAGAATAATCTTATTGTAGATAGGAGAGCCAAAAAACACCTCTCTGATCTGTGTTGTATTAAAAGCAAAAACCTGCCAAGCAGGGGAGCCAAGGTAAGATCTTTATTTAGTCCAAAGCCTTGGAGACTTTCCCAACATTATATATTAAAAATAAAAATGAAAAATCAAGGCACTGACAGAGGGCAGGTTTAGATTGGCTGTTAGGAAGAAATTCTCCCCTGTGAGGGTGGTGAGGCCATGGTACAGGTTGCCCAGAGAAGCTGTGACTGCCCCATCCCTGGAAGTGTCCAAGGCCAGGTTGGATGGGGCTTGGAGCACCCTGGGCTAGTGGAAGGTGTCCCTGCCCATGGCACGGGGGTAGAAAGAGATGGTCTTTAAGATCCCTTCCAACTCAAACCATTCTGTGATTCTATGACACAGGGATATATGCTCAGTTAACCAATATTGTTATGTAACAGGGATAAAGAAGCAGAAAATCAACCTTTTTTTCCTCTTTTTATTGAACAACAAACTTTAACAAAATTAAAAAATGTACTTAACTGAAAGTCCTGTGTGAGCTTCTGCCTGAGTCAGGTTTATGCCTGTCCTGGTCCCCTTACTTTCTTGCTGCTGGCTAAAGGAGGACACGTGAAATCATGAGAGAGGACAGGCGAGGACACCCTGCTGTATCCTGGATCAAACAGCTTTGACCTTCACTGCAGGGCTACAGCATTTGAGTTTTTAGCAGTCTGGCCTTTGCTTTGCTTTATGTGTGATGCTGTAGCCAGAGGTATTATACTGGTGGTGGATGCAACCCTTTACTCCTTTATAGCAGCTCTGGCAACTGTAGCCTGGCTTTGCTGATGGGCCACCCCAAACAGTGACAGTCTATTCACACCCTGCCTGGCTTATTGGTTTTTTGAGCTTTATAGTCTATGATGGCCTGAAGTTTACCCTTTACACAATGCAAAGAACAGAAAAACTCATGGAGTGGCCACTTTCTGCCTGGTGACTGGAGCTGCTTCACCTCAATCTCACTTGGAAAGCTGCTATTCCTTGTCTTGTCTCCCTGTTGTGGCTCTGCTTGTCCATCCCAGACTCTCGTGTTTGAGACATGAGAGCCTTGAGGAGGAAGAGCTGCAGAAACAGCTCTTGAAAACACAGATGACCTGAAAGGAGAGAAGGAAACTGAGCTTGGTTTGTAATGAATACTTGAATTGTTTAATCATTTCCTTTTTAAGGAAAAACACTTCAGAGTCAAATTTTTTGCTCAAGCTGCCTGGCTGTGAATTCTGGGATAGTCACATGAAATTAAATCTTTTTTTGCCTTTTTTTTTTTTTTTTTTTTTTTTTGCTTGTAATAAGCAAAACCAAGCTTTCAACAAAAACTCCTGGATTTGAGGAGTCCTTCCTTTTACCACTTAAAGCAAGCACATGGACCTGAGGTACCTCAGTCATTCTTGGGAAACCTGAAATCATGGAAAGTGCTCTTTTACCACCAAAAATGGCAAATCTGTTTAAATTACCCAGAAGATCTGCAGATGTTGAATTTCACAGAAAAAGTGAGGCCCAGCTGCAAGAACCGGAACTTCTTTTAGATTTTTTCACTGAAAATATCCAGAAGTCAGAAGTGCCACATGTGTTGGTTAATAGGAATAAAATCCAATGCCTTGAAAATAGGCAGAATATCAGTTCCTTTGTATGGCTGAATATTTGGGGGACAAATATTATATGTAATTCTTCATACTACTGCCAATACAACTCTCAGTTTTATAAACTAAATATCTTTAGACAACTGTTCAAGGCTGTTGAGTGAGACACTGGATGCATCACTGTGGAATTGTGCCACATATTTAAAGGAATGATGTGACACTTTAAAATATGCACTCTCTTGACAGAGGGAAAGAAAATATTAACCACTCTTAGCAGTTTGGCAAGAATCTAAAAAGCAGAGGAAACTTGTGATACTTGTGATTGAACAGGGGAATAATTTTGCAAAATTTTTATAGTGCAGCCTCATCCTCAGCCTTCTCTCTGTGCACTGCAGCCCTCCTGATCCCCCAAAATCCCTTTTGACAAACTGTCCTTAGGGAGTTGTAGGTCTGTGACAAGCTGGGTGCCTTCCAGAGGTACAGTTGAGGATAAATTTAGGTCAGTGCACTTTGCTTGCTGCTAATTTTGGCGGTACAGCATTCTGCTCTTTCTTTGGTCACAAAATGAATGTGTTGCTCCACATTTCAACTTATTGTTACACTCACTAGCTACTCCTCAGGAGCTAGATTTTGGTCTTAGGCAATCTGCATGTGAGGACTGCAAGGTGGTAAAAGTCATAGAATCACTGAACCATTAAGGCTGGAAAAGACCTCAGAGATCATCAAGTCCAACCATTAAAATAACAATAACACTGCCAGGCTCTTATCAGCCATTCCTGATAG